TTTAGCTCTGTGCATGCAGTGTGCCCCGTCCAATACGACAGTGGAGCGCTCCTTGTCCTGAGGCACGGTAACCATGTTATTGTCAGCCCTGAGTTCCTTCAGTGCATTACGTTCAACCTTGGAGATAAAGTCGCGTGGTCTATGAGCCACGAGGAGGGGGGTGACACTTGTACCTGTTGCGGCCGCGATCATGACTGATCTAGCCAGCCTCGACGTCCCATACGGTGCTTCTCCACGCGCCAAGATCCGTGGCCGCAGACCAGGAATGTTCGAGCTATTCTCATCGGAGACCGAATACCGAAAGTCCAAGAACCACTTTAATGTCCTGACCGACTGATTCGAGCCAGGTTTTGAGCTGACCCCCACTTCAACGTTTCCAAGTAGGTAACGTTCTCGGGTGGAGGGCAGTAACACTGAGCTCGTGAGGTTGATGGCGGAGAACGTGTCTAAACCACCTCAGTCGCTAACTGCTTCCCCTTCCTCTTTCCTCTCACCATGCGCACCAGCATATAAAACCAGCCGAAGTCATGCTCTATTCACCAATCAAATTTCAGCCCCCTAGGTCGATACTTGATTGGGCAGTTGGTTTTATCTTGTTAATAGGCAGTGGCTGTATACAATTGAATAACGTTCACCGACCACTAATGAAGCTCACTTGTCCAGCTCTGCCTTGGCTACAATTTCTTGGACCCTGACACAGCAGGAGTAGCGGCAGACAATATTGCCTGCGAAGATAAGCGGGAGACTGAAATGGCCCTTTCTGGCTTATTAGCTGATGTCAGCCATCATTCATCAGCGAGTATCTATATCTCCCGACCTAAACCGGCAAGACAACGAGCTCCTGTCTTATTGGTTAGAATGTTTGACTCTGACCAAAAAGGTCGCGAGTTCGAGGCTCGAGTGGGGCGCCACTTGGGGCTGGGTATGGCTGGCTGACGACGGCTAATAAGCCAGAAATGGCCATTCCAGTCTCCCTTCTCTTTGCCGGCAATACTATCTGCCTAAATTCATCTTTTCTTATTAATAGGCAAAAACTGTAAGCAGTTGAATGCGAGGTCACTAAATTGTATGACGTCATTAACTTCTGTAAACCTCCTCGTTCTGTCTTTGTGTTGTTTAAACTACAGGAGTGACAAAATAGGGTTCCATTTGCTCCGCGACTTAGTACGCGTTACGTTTTTCCCACAAAACATTAGAAGATTAGAAAACAAAGAGGAGAGAAAGCTTTAACTTGGCCTTTTTGGCTCTTTTTTCGTAACTTTCTTCTTTTTCTCTTTCCTCCTCTTACGCCGTCCCCGGTAGATCTGTTTGGTGCAGCTTCTCCTCCTGCTGATACAGCAGTGGATGGTGCCTGCCCTGCAAAAGAGCGTCTCCCCTTTCATCCGCTCTCGCTCCACCTACGTGATGGAACATCTGTTGAACATTGCCATACCAAATCACATCCTCTGGCTGCTCGGTTTTTACGCTTTTTTCCATTCCTACCTAAATGTGGTAGCTGAACTGCTGAAATTTGGGGATCGCCGCTTCTACGAGGATTGGTGGTAAGCGCAAGGTCGTTTTCGCCCCTCTCCCCCATTTTTGCTAGTTTAGAGTCAGTTTCGAACATCTTACTGCTTCACTGATATCTTGAACAGACAAAGACCAGTTTTGGTCTCTTGCTCGTTGATGAACACGTTCATCTGACTGCTAACAGAACTCATCTGTCCCGCTCTGTCTTGGGAGTCGACTCTGAGGCTCTGAAAACAGCCGTAGCAGCTGCTAGTATAGGCAGGTCTCTGGGAGGCCCAAGGTAGAGCGCAACAGATGAGTCCCGTTAGCGGTCAGGTGAACATTCACCAACGAGTATCATTATCCCCTGTTCTGAACCGGCTCGTGGCTCAATGGTTAAGCCGTTTGTGTTGTAACGGAAGCCCAGGCCGAAATATCACCGCCAATAGCGCCTTGTGTGAGTCCCCAAAGGAAGAACACGGCAAGAAATGTGCAACGGTAGAAGTCGTTTAGTGTAATAGGTACAACGTATTTAGGACAACAAACCGTGTAACGCGATGTCCATTGAGCCAATCAGCTCCTCTCCTGAAATAGTCGCTGGTAGGATTGGCTACTGACTCAGTGACTGAATGTAGCTAGAAATTCAAATTATTGATTGATTGTTTAGCACGATGCGTGAGCTCGCATGTAGGCCGATCGATAGCCTATTGTGGACGTGGCTACTTGCTGCCTCTATGCTAGCCGTTGGGTTTCTCTAACAGTTTGATCCCCGACCAAAAGGTCGCGGGTTCGAGGCTGGGGTGAAACACCACTTGGGTCTGGGCATGACTGGCTGACGACGGCTAATAAGCCAAAAATGGCCATTTCTGTCTCCCTTGTCTTTGCCGGGAATACTATTTGACCTCTTAGTTAACACGGACGCAAATTGAACCTGACCGGCTTGAAGGACCACCAATGCAATGCAAGTCTGCATTTTTCAGCAGGCCCTCTTCTTAATTCAGACCACCGACTAGAGGATTCGTGACAGATTTAAACATACTGGAAGCGTATAGTCACTGGCCGATCGCATGCAAAGTCAACCAGTGTTAAAATGCGTTTAAAAGTTAGGGATGACTACTTACGTGGGGTTGTAGTAATAATCTTGGAGCATAATACCAAGGTGTTTCAGACACGACAGAATGCCGGCATTTGAATATCCTTCTTTTCGGCCGTCTTAATAAACACGAAATAGTGACAGTAGTTTGAGTAGTGGACCTTACATACGTTTAGCCCCAGGCTTGTCTCGTACGGTTAGGGTTAGATTTAGGGTTATTTATAACGAAAAAAATAAGTATTTATGTATACTAAACTACATAATCGTGATTAGCCTTCTATATTAGTGTCATAGCCTTTAGTTTTACGTAAGCCCATTTGACCTGCTATTCGTTAGCTTTCCGTACTCACGGTTAGCCTCCTCCCTCCCCCTCCCTCCCCCTCCCACGCATAAACCCCGATTACCACCGATCCCGTAAGACACAAGACTTGGGCTGAGCTTATATAAGGTCCACCACTTACAGTACTATTGCCGGAGAAACTGTTTAAGAGGTATACATTTTTGCTATATATTTTCGTTATCCCTACAAATTCAAATTTATTTTGTAGAAAACATACGCAAAAATTTTATTTTATTTGCTCATTTTATAGCAAAACTACGTCTTCTTAATATTTTTATACTCAAAAGAAGAGTTTGTTTAGGCGACAGTTTTTCTCCTTAAATCTCTCAAATGGCATTTAATCCCTCTGACTTTCTGAACAATGCCTAAGGAGTTTTTCACTCTCGGCCCTCACCCAGTTTCAATTACTGGCAGCGCCACTGCTCTGAAATATTCTGCTGAACAAATGCATTGCATAACTGTTCTGTATGAATAGGGAGTTTAAAGGTATTTACCTACATTTTCCTCAATACAACCTGAGCTGACCTGACCTGAAGTTTTAAGGAAAAGGTTTATTGTGAATTTTTTAAAGTCGATGCAATGTGTTATAACGGTGGCATCTGACGTGTGTCACCGTCGAATTACGCG